ATTTTAAAGATGTGCTGTTTTTGAATATTTTAGCCCAAAGGGGTATTAACCGAAATGCTCTCGAAAAGTGTATGTGTGCGTAAATGGGGGGGGGGGAATTGCTTTTGGAGGGCGTAATATAAAATCTGACAGTTTCCAGATTTTCTTCTTTCTATTATTAATATTTAGTGTGTTAATTTTGTTATTGTTATTATTACCATTACTATTTAACATCGTTCGTGAGCTATAAATCAATTTCTTCTACGGAGTTAGGATTTCGTAAAACAATTTTGCAGTAACTAAATAAAGAATTCTTAAAAAAAAAAAAAAAAAAAAAAAAAAAAAATGAAATGTTTCAGATTTTAAATGACGTCCAAAGGAGCGTTTTTTAACATTTTGTGTGTTACCTTTCTTTATTAAATATCATGTTCCTCGCACTTAAACCATAAGATCCAGTGCAACAGCAATATCGCAAAATAGTTTTAAAACGAGCATATCTTTAGAATTTCCGATACAGAGACTCACGCGCTGGAGATAAAAATGTTTTTTTCTGCACAACGTTGCCATTGCTCGCTTGGTAATCCTTGAGTTTGTTAATCAAAAATTCGTCAAATTTTTAAAAAATAGGAAATCGATCATAAAACAAATTTCAAATTTCAAATTTGGTCTTCCACATGCTCATATTCGTTGGAGGATTACGTTATTCAAAATTCGATGACTCTATGTACCGTTATTTTATGACAATGTGAGAAATATACATACATTTACGCAGATTTTCATTATTTAATTTCTTCAAATATAATGCAGGACTCTAACATTTTATGGCAACAGTTTGAAAAGTGAACCGACATTTATCCGTCCGACGCAAATGCCAAAACGAAACTAATAGTCCTTCGGGATTCAAATCCCTTTGGACTAAAAAAAAAAAAAAAAGATGCTTTCTCAAAATGTCATGTAGAATTTTGCTTTAATTAAAAGTTTCTGCAAAAATAAAGAAGTGGCAACATGTTTAAAAAAAAAAAGAATTATGATCAGGTGACGCTTGTTAAATTTGGACGCTATTTCGCATTGTTGATGAAAATAAATAACTTTATATTTTTAAACTGCAGATTGCAGTGCTAAGATGCTTCTTACCATAAGTTATTATAAGTTTGCTTATTACAATATTTTTATCCATAGCAATATTTTCCTTAATGTGCGTAAAAGATTTTTCTAATTATTTATTTTTAATGACATGTACGTAAAAGACAAAATAGGTTTAATTTACAATAATTGTTATTCTATGAAATATTTTTGTGTATTAGAATGATATTGACGTTAACGTTATTACGTTATTAATTAACATCAACATTTATTACTGGCTCATTATTTTTAGGTAGTGAAAATACATGCAGTAAAAAAGACACAGCACACACAGAGAGAGACGGTGATTTATTAAATATTTGTTATTTACAATGATATGAGAGAGAAATATATAGAAAGACGTGTGGGAAAGAGGCCCATATTTATCATAAATATATACAAGACATAATGTACATCATTATTTTTCTGAATGAAAGACATTTCCTCTACTGTGAGCGAAATGTTTACAGAAAGCTATCACAGGCAAGTGATGCAGAAGGAAACATTCTCAGTATTTAAAAGAATGATGAAAGAGAAGTCTTCCACTCACCAAACAGAAAAATAATTCATTATCCGTTCTAACATTCTGTCTGATCCCGTACAGACAACTTATAACCAACAAGCTATTATATTTATTTAATCTGAAGTATTAGATGAGGAAATTTAAAACATCATTTTTAATTTTAGGTGAAAACATATTTGTATTTATTTTATTTATGCCTTGGTGTTCATTTTAATTTCAGACGTATTTGCATTATGTTGAGACAGACCGTGCCACAACCAGCTTTGTATGTACACTACACAAACTTTATTTTAGGGCTTCTTAAAAAAGCCATTATGTTTAAGGCTAAAATAATGAATATGTTGTAATATTTGGTGCCAGTAATTTTTTATATGAAAGAATTGCATAAAATTATTCTCAACCATTTATATACGATTAGTTAGAAATTACTTTTTGTATACTTAATCCACCTTTATCTTCAGCGAGTTGATTAATTACATCATCATAATTAACTACCTTAACAGAACTGCATTCGATCTTAATTCGGCTATGATTCAGTTAATGGTTAATAACATGAAGAGTGAAAATCCGTAGCATATCAGCGGGAGCTCAATTTGACTGTTTTTATACTTTTGTCGAGAATTCAGTATACAGTAACACAGATTAAGGTGGCGATGTTTAAAGTTTCCAATAACTGAGGAAAACGAATATTACAATTCGTTTTCCTCAGTTAAAATTCAGGACTTTCTTAGGCTTGTGTACCGATTGCATCTTAAAGTAAACAATGGAACCAGTAGTTACCGATAAAATCCAGCATTTAAGGGTTTAATTGCTCTTTTACAGAGCACTGAATAGGTCTCCGAAGTAATAATCGATGTTGCACACAAAGCTCAGTCAGAGTCTGATTATACCTTAGGCAACAAGGCCCAGACCAGGCCATTGCTCTTAAGGTAACCGAAAACCACCCTGTAATTTTTTATAATCTTGCTTTTTCCAAAGACAATAACGAAAGCTTTGACAAAAAGTCGCTTTTTCTAGGGCCCCAAATTATATCAATCGAGGCTTATGCAACTAATAAACTTTTGACTTGTGCGATAACTTCGCATCGTTATCTAAGTTGAGAAAAATTACTGCTACGGTATTCTGAAAGAATTTGTCAATTACGTAGACAGACTTATCCTAGTGTCATCAAATGTATGTTTCTGCATTAGCTGCTTTATGTATTGCTAATAACAATATTTGTTTAGAATACCTTATGAAAAATTCCTTATTGAAAATTATCCATTGAAAATTCCTTATTGAAAATTTTTCATTGAAAATTCTTTTTTTATAATTATCCTTATTAAACCACTGAAAATTCCTTATTGAAAATTATCTATATTAAACTACTGAAAATTCCTTATTGAAAAATTATCCTCATTAAACCATTGAAAATTCCTAATATTGATGAAATTTTCAGATCTTTTCAGTTTGGAAATTAATTTTATTCTCAATAATTTTGATGGAATTTTCAGACCTTTTTAGATTGGAAATTAATTTTATTCTCAATGTCTCATGCTTATCTTTATACAGATCTAACAAATTTCCGATTATGTATGTTTTAGAGAAAAATTATCGTGCCGTAAATTTCAACTATATTTTGTAACATACACACAAATATATACATATCATAATATATGTATGTTCCTTAATTTGCTCACACTGTTGGTGCCGTTTTATGTTAGTATCAGATAAAAAAAATCATATATTTATTTATTTACTTACTTATTAATATTATTATTATAAGCCCAAACGCGTATTAGCTCAGAAAGGACTATTATAATAATTTTGCGTTGATTCACTACAAATACTTTACAAATTGTTCTCACCAAATAAACATACATGCATACATTCAGATTCTTTTTATTTAATTTCTTTAAATATTATCGCCCTGTATTATATTTAAAGAAATTAAATAATGAAGAATCTGAATGAATGCATTTATGTTTTCTAGCATTGTAGAAAAACAAGGATATCTACAGCCATCAAATTTTGAATAACGTAGTTCTCCATCCTAATATGAGTACTTGGAAGTCCGAATGTGGAATTTGTTTCATTTCATTTCGAATTTTAAAATATGCATATACTAATTCAGAAGTCAAACAACAAAAATCAGCGTTATATTTACAAATTTTCACAGGACTAGTTTCGATGGTTTTACCGAACCACCATCTTCAGCTGCAAAACCGCAAATGAACCAGATACGAAATAATGATTAGATTAGATAAGATAAGAAAGCTTGGACAAGAATAAGCATGTGGCGCCATCTGTTGGTGAAACCAGAACTAAAACATAACTTCTTTAAAGGCCGAAGGCAAATTTGGATTGGAATTAGAATCGTTAACTAGAACAGAAAGATTTTTATGAATGTGAAATGCCTCTAGAAAATTCAGTTCTCCAATGGAAGATGTTTTTTGAATAATTTTGGCAGCAGAAAAACTGAAAGTGTGGTTTTCGGACCAACAATGTTGAGCAACAGAAGACTTCTGTGTTTCCTTTTTTCTAACATATGCCTCATGTTCCTTGACGCGAAATTTTAAGGCTCTCTTAGTTTGGCCAATGTAAATTAAACCACACTGGCAAGGAATCCTATAAATACCCCAGAAATTCATATCCGGAATGGGGTCCTTGAATATGGAAATCGGAATTTTATTGATGGGAGAATAAACAACCCGAAAGTTAAATTTCTACAAAATATGTGCAACTTTATAGCTAATTGATGAAAAGAAGGGAATGACAACAGAATTTTTATAATCTCCTAAAACAAGAGTGTGCCTTTTAGTGAGTTGAGATGAGAATTTTTTAACTGCTTGATTAATAATGTTGGGTGGAAAGCCCCTGTCAATAGCTATTGCTTTTTAATAATTTAGTTCTTCATCAAGGGCTAGTTTGGAGGAGCAAACTTGAAGAGCACGGAAAACATAGGAATAAAATGAAGCTAACTTTTGTTTTAGTCGGATGACATAATTTAAAGTGTGGTGGAAGGCAAACCGATGAAGGTTTACGGTAAACCGTAGTACTGAAATTGGATGTGTTACGTGTGACCAGAATGTCGAGAAACGGAAGAGAATTGCAAGTCTCAAGTTCAAAAGTGAACTGAATAGCAGGATCAATAGAATTCATTGTTGAAAGAACTTTATTTAAATCATCTTTATTACCTTCAAAAAGAGTAAAAGTATCATCTACGTAGCGGAACCATGCCGGGAAGTTTAAAGTTTCAAACAATTTTAATTCATAATAATGCATGTAGATATCAGCCAGGATGGGACTGAGTTGGCTTCCCATGGCTAATCCCTCAGTTTGCTTATAATATTTATTTTGGAAAACAAAATGTGTTTGTTTCAAACAGAGAGATGGTGGTTCGGTAAAACCATCGAAACTAGTCCTGTGAAAATTTTGTAAATATAACGCTAATTTTTGTTGTTTGACTTCTGAATTAGTATTTATTCGGCATGTTATTGTGTCTTAATTATATGCAAGTACATTAAATATTAGATAGGAGTTTTAGAAAGTTATTTGATAAAACATGGATTCACATCTAAATTATTTTTTTCGCTTCATGAAATGATTCGATTGTTATATTCGGTATTCGATTCTAAAACCAAACAAATTAGAATTTAGATATTTGGTCTTGTGGAAGACTTCAATCGTGCTGTACAGGGAAGAATCTAAAATATATTTTCACACCAAGTCAAAAGCTACTTATCATTGGGTGATAGACTATTCATTAAGGTTCTTACGTTCATTCACAGCAAGTAAAAAAGTCCTAAAATTAACTGTAATGGGGAGAAAGGGTAGGGTGATACACCGTTTTCTTCGAAAGAGCATTGAAATTTTCTATTTGATGCAGTAGCCCATAGAAGGCAGAACAACACAAATGGTACAGAGTTGTTCACGTTGAGCAAAGGTCATATATGGAGCTAATGTTTTAAAATAGCTTTGTGCGATTAATTATGTAACGAAATTTAATCTTGGGTAAATCTCTACATTCGTTTAAGTCCGCTGGAGAAATTTTCTTTAATTTTTCATCAGGAAGCTTTCATTATCAATAAACATGTATTCAAATAAAATTATGCTAATTTTGATTTAAAGGAAAGTTAACTGTATTGCTTACTAAAATTTAAACATCCATTACGCAGAACTGATGCGCTATAAAACGTTTGCTAATGATCTATATCAAATTAATTAAAATTTTAAATCTAAATATGTAGCATTTGATAAATACAAAAGTATGTATTAAATACTAAATATTTATGTTGCGTTCTGCAAAAGTTAACTTTCGATTGGTTTCTCGTGTATTTTTTTAAACACTGTTTCCATTTAAAAACCTAAAATTCTCATAACAATTTAGCAGATGTAATATAATTTAGCCGGACTTACGAAATTGCAAAGTAACCTTTCTGAAAAAATAATGTATATATCTTCGCGTGTGTATATGTAAGCAAACATTCGCAGTAAATATTTTGAGAGTCTGTATAGATTTATTAAGATATTTATTCAGAAAGACTACTTTGAAATTTCATATTGGGCAAAACCAAATAAAAATCTTGCCGACGAGATAGAATTTACCGAAGAATTTGTGGTAATTTATTATATTTTAGTTCTTCTATTTTAGGAAATTAAAAGATGTGGTCAAAAAATAATATATGTAATACGGAAAGTCGTTTCGTTTTATAAATATGAGAACTTTTCTATGAAGTAATTTTAACAGCAATATAACATTCTTAAATGAAAACTAATAACTTAATGCAAATAATCCCGAATTGTGTAACCTATTTCTTTCTCTTGTTAGAAAATCCGAAAGCTATAACTAATTTTAGTGTTTTTGTTAATAAACTTAAAACAATATTTATTATCTTATGAAAAGAGTTATAGTTTCTTTAAATATATTTATGCAATTCCTCGTTGTAAATTAATTTACAGCTTCTGATTTTTAGAAATGGTATAACTAAAACCTTCTCTTGAGTGATATGTTATAAAACATTTCACAGCTATATGAAGCATTTACAGGATGCATGCATCTTGAAATTATTACAATATTTTAGGAATGGTATAACAAGAGAGTTATTTTAAGTACATTGCTAAATTCGGTATCGGAGAAATTCGAATAATATAATAAATAAATAAATAAAAAATCCGCTTTAGCTGAATTTTAAATTTTAGTTTAACATCATTGTTTTCAAGTTTATACATGCAGGCTATTTACATTTGTTGAGTTCTCGGTCTGTTAAGCTAATGAACAAATCAGAAGTCGAAAAATTGCATCAGATACTGAAAATTCTGCAAAAAACATTTTGGATTTAGTGTACATTAACATTGTGCATCCTTGCTTTGCAACTTTAATCACATATGAAAAAATCTTTAAATTCGAATGCACTTTTCCTACTCTGATGTAAATCCTGATAATTTCTCTAAGCTTTCCTTCCTACCAGAGTCTCTGTTTTTTCTACGTTCTATGGTCAGATGAAACTTTCGACATATTTGAATAACTCTGGCGGCTTAAAGCAGTCTGTATGAACAGTAATTCGTCATTTTTTCAATTGCTGAGCATTCGTCATAGTTCAAAGATGAGCTTCCTCAGAAAAAGATATATTTTGAAAGAGGGGTAAATTTATTGCAGCACAGTGGATCGGAAGTGCCACGTCGTTGAGTAATCCTCCGGTAAAGAGTCCGGCCTGTAAGGTCGATTGTGACTCGACAAAGGATATGGTCCTCCACTTTTACCCGCTGGAAAGAAAAACAATAAAGAGATAGTATTAGTAATCATAGTATGCTTGAAACCAAAATAGTGTTTTTATTATGAAAAAGAAGAAATCATTACTTATGAAATCTGTGCCTAAAATCGTTCTTTTGGATGATTTTAAAACTTCAGGATATCAAAATAATAGAAATTTCAAACTGTTGCCTGACACTTTAAAGAGGAATTTACAATTAAAAAATTTTTAAAATTAAAAAGCTGTAAAAATGCTAAAAATATGTATAAAATAGTCATTAATTCTTGGACGAAGTATTAAATTATACAAATTTTTTGCAGCATTTTATTTAATTAATTAACCGATCTCTCAAAGCAAGTTTGAAGGTAACACTGCAAAACAAGCAAACAACAAAAATTGCAAATTTTGAAATTAAATATCCTGTCGTACGGGAGTCAAACTTCTTTTTTTTTTTTCTTTTATTTTTAATAACATTTAGTATAAGACTATATATTTTAGTATAAAATGTCCCAAATATAACAAAGAAACTGTATCAAAAGTTAGATATAGTTTGTCCACAATTAATTTTTTTTAATCTGACATTGCCAGAACATAAATATTTTCGTCATTTAAAACACTTCTCTAATGACGATTGCGGAAATAAAGGCCGAGGAAGGACTTTAGGGTTAGGAATAAGTTCCGTCGGTTGCAATAAAAAATGCACAAATAGATGCTATAGCAGTCCCATAAACAAAATTTAAACGTTTTATGGCTAATCGTTTTTGAGTTATGCGAATACATAACAGCAAGTACGTACGTACATACTTATGTGCTTCGACACAGAAGTTCCGAAAAATATCGCTTTTGAATCCATTTTAAATCTATTTTATAATCCTTTTTGGAAGAAAAGAATCCTTTATTACGTCCAAAAATACAGGCGTCAGGCAAAAACAAAATTGTCTAAATGGATTCGGTAATGGTCGAAATGGATATTTCTGTTGAAATTTAATACTCGAAATATTTTGCAATTTTAATGCTTCCTTTACTTCGTACAAGGAAGTAAAAAAAATGGGATAGCAATCTCATATGAATCTAGTTTAACACATGAAAAAATTTAACTAATTAGCTGTGATAAAAGAAAAAACTTAAGAATAAACCTCCAAAAATTCAAAATGCAAAGCATACAATCGTATGCACTGATGGTAAATGAAATAGTACCAAACACCAAGAAATCAGTTTTGAGGAATAAAGTGCAGACAAAACATTTGTCTGAATAACATATTTATTTGATTAATGTTTTAAGGTTATAGGTTAAAGTGTACGTGAGGAAAACTACTTCAAACGTGAAATGGTGATACATTAATTACCGCTGTAGTCTCTGCACGTTGATAAACTAAAGCACGCAAAAGCGCATGCATTGTGTCATACAAGTGCCGTATGAAATATAGACTCAAAGACAACAATAACATAAAATTCGTTTTAATTATTATGCTGAATATCTTCGCAACGTTCTGAAAGTTTCTGTTATTTATTTTGTAAAAATCCATCAATAAGATTCCGGAGTAACTTCTAATATTGTTTTCTTTCCCTGCAAAAAAGAAAAAAAAAAAAAAAATCTGAAATGTTTCAGATTTTAAATTACGTCCAAAGGGGCGTTTTTTAACATTTTGTGTGTTACCTTTCTTTATTACATATCATGTTCCCGCACTAAACCATAGATCCAGTGCACGCAATATCGCAAAATATTTAAAACGAGCATATCTTTAGAATTTCCGATACAGAGACTCACGCGCTGGAGATAAAAATGTTTTTTCTGCACAACGTTGCCATTGCCGCTTTGAAATCCTTGAGTTGTTAATCAAAAATCTCAAATTTAAAAATAGGAAATCGATCATAAAAAAACCAATTCAATTTGGTCTTCCACAGCTCATATTCGTTGGAGGATTACGTTATTCAAAATTCGGACTCTATGTACCGTTGTTTTATCACAATACGAGAAATATAATACATTTGCAGATTTTCTTATTTATTCTTCAAATATAGAGGATCTAACATTTTGTGGCAAACGTTTGAAAAGTGAACCGACATTTATGAGTCCGACGCAAAATGCCAAAATGAAACTAATAGTCCTTCGGACTTCAAATCCCTTTGGACTAAAAAGGTTTTTTCTGTTTGTTTTGTTTGTTTGTTTAGTGATGTGTCATTTAATTATGTTTTGTTTAATTGCGTAAAGTTGTAAAATTCCTCAAATAATTAATATTTCTTAAGACGGATTTAAAGAGTTCATCATTTTTCTTTAAAATCTGTTTTGCGTGTTTATTGCTCCTTTAACATCTGTTTCTAACAAGTGTTATTTTCACTTTCTATAAAATCACGTTGGAGAGATACTATAAGAGCATAAGTTAATTTACTATATTTCGTAGGAACATGCTATAACAAGTGTAATTTTACAGTGTGAGTGTCAGAAGAAAGACAGTTTTTTTTTATTAGAAAATTTGTAATTTATGAGCATTCTCAAATGCATCCAAAATAAAATCTAGTGGCCGAGATTAATATTTGGAGCAATTTATAATCTTCAAACCTCTATATAAATTTATATTATATTTATTCAAACTTTAATATGCATTTTCAATATTTTGATTTTTTAAATTCATTTTATATTTAGGAAGTTAATCCAAAAACAAACTCAAGCCCGCCCAACCGGGATAGTGATTAGCGCTGCTGACTGCCATATCGAAAAATTGCCGAGAAGGAATGGATGTTTGTAAATGTAGTGTCTGTGCGGCATTGGGGCACTCGAAATATGCGGCGAGCCGAAAGTCCTCTAGAGAGGTTGATGGTAGGGGAAGAGGGATTGCCACGATGAATTTCGTGGGCTTGTTCTGATGCTACTATCAGACAAGTGAGATACGTTACAACAACCCAACACCAACAAGCTCAGGAACACTTAAAATTAAAATTCTTTTTACGCTAAATTTAAATTTTACTCAGCAGAAAATATATTAAGACGATTTTCTATTCAACTTACTAAAACATGATAAACATCTCATTAATTCAATATTTTAAACGGAGACCCTGTAAAAAGTTATATTCCATACTTATAGAACCTCTCCCTTCCCCACAAGGTATAGTGAAAGGTTTTCGTAAAATTATTCACAATATTTTGAAAAGCATTTTGATTGGATGTAAAAGATTAATATTTCAGAAAATAAAACTTGTAGCCTTCCTTTTTCAAAAGTTTTGGTATTAATGTGTAAGAACAGCAACGTGAACAAAACTTTATGTTAAATACATAAAACCTGATGAAATACATTGAAAGCGTCATCAGTTAATCATCGGTATGAATTTTGATGAGCTTATATGAAAGAATCAATAGGTTAGGTCAGGACAAGCGAGAGGCGCTGAAGTTGCGCAGTTAATCCTACCTAAGACGATCCCCATGGTTCGAGACGATTTGGGTATTTTTGTGGACGTGGTCGCCTTAGAAAGGTGATTATCAAATGTAAATGTTAATTTATCAAATACGCATGTTTATTTTGTTCTCGAAAGACTGGTCGCTTTTAGAGATGGTAAGTACGGGAAATGGTCACCTCAGAGGAGGTCACATCTACTGCTGTAAAGTTCCTTATATCTTGTTAAATGTAATGTCGGGGAACGTAGTGAACTGCTAAGCGAATAATCGTAAAACATAAACATAAACTCAAGAAGGGTTACCTTTCTCAGGGCGTACAGCAAAGCCTGCACTTGGGCTTAAACTCAAAATGTAAGAAATAAGAACTAACTAATGACTAAATAAAGAGATTTAGTCGAAGCTAGCACAGTTCTAAACTGATTGGCCCGTAATATGAAATTAGCCAGCGATGCTATCAAAAGGCACGTAACACGACCGAGCGTAATACAGCTTCGAGAGGTGTATCCCACAGGCAAACGCGCGCTGTTCAGGAATCCTAACTATCTCTGGCGAAGTCAGTGGAACTTGACTTAAATACTATTCTACTTCTCATTTGCATTTAACGCGATTCTAAAAACTCATTCAGGTAAGCTGAAACTAGGAAGGCTAGGAAAGAGGCATGAACTTAAAATAACTGTTATAAAATTAAAATATACCTGAACGAAATCGCCAAAATATGAATTAAAATCAAACTGATTAACGCTGTTTCCAAAGTAATGAGGGGAATAAATCATTCTTTTTCTTTCCCTTTTACAAAAATGCTTTGTTTCAAACTTTACTGTAAGGTGAGAAGTAATCAAAATTGTTATTCATCTCATTTGAAAATGAAATCCGAGAACCAACCAAACCTAGGTTTACATTGCTTGCCATTTCGTGTAAGTGACACTAGATAGGAAACTTAGACCCCAAAATGGGCGAAATTACAGCTGAGTTTGCTGCTAATTTGAATAGCGTCCAGCGCAGGTCGTTGCCCCATTGGAAAAAGTGTCACCAGAGAAGACGCAAGCCAGCTGCGGACGACGACGAAAAGACCTGTGGAAAATTGATACTCGGCAGCTGGACAGTTATCTCGACCACGTGACTCATCATCATAATCATTACTCAGATTCATTGGCAACTCTTGATACCTCGACCGCATCTGCATTGTTATCGCAACGGTTTGACTGCATCTGTTGCTATCATCGCTAATTAAAATATTCGGCCAGTTTTCGAGCCTTGATATAAGCAACAGCGCCTGATTATTGTATTTTTGTCTAGGTTCCCCACGTTTTCTTAGACTTTGTGCTTGATGATATATGTCAGACCATTTTTGATTTTTCAGATTGGTTAAATAAATAATTGAGCGACATTGATAATGAAGATAATGCTGTTTTAAACTGTAAAGAAAAGAAAATAGCAAAGATTTTTAGCTCATTTTAATTTGTTTTAACATGGTTTTTATTTCATTTGTTTAGTTGTTTTTTGTTGGCTTGGGTTAAAATTTTAACTTTTCATGTTATTTTACAGATTCGATTTTTATAAAAATTTTCACACTTACGTATTTCCCATGTTCTGCACCTAAAGTTGGAACTTTGAAGGCATAT